TTTTCTTTGTTTAGTTGCAGACACAAAACAAACAGATATACAAAATATATTACTCACTCTATAAATACTCGTGCTGCTGCTGCTGCTGCTGCTGCTCCTGCTGCTGCTGCTGCTGCAGTTGCTGCTGCTCCTGCTGCTCCTGCTGCTGTTGTTGTAGGTGCTGCAGGAGGAAATGCTGCAGTAGGAGTTGCTGCTGTTGCTGTTGCAGCTGTTGCAGCAGTAGTTGCTGCTGTTGTAGCTGCAGCAGCAGCAGCAGCAGCTGCTGCTGCTGCTGCTGTAACAGCAACAGCAGCAGCAGCAGCTGTTATAGTCGCTGCAGCAGTAGCTGCTGGTGCAGCTAGTATAGCTGCTGCTGCTGCTGCAGTTGCTGCTGCTGCAGTTTTTGCTGCTGCAGTTGCTGCTGCTGCTCCTGCTGCAGTTGCTGCTGCTGCAGTTGCTGCTGCTGCAGTTGCTGCTGCTAGAGTTACCTAGGCAGCAGCAGGAGCTGCTGCTAGTCTAGCTGCTGCAGCAGCTGCTGCCGTTGTTGCTGCAGCAGCTGCTGCAGCAGCAGCAGCTACTTTAGGTGCTGCAGCTGCTGCTGCTGCTGCTGCTCCAGCTGCTGCAGCAGGAGCAGCCGTGGCAGCAGCAAAAGCAGCAGCAGGAGCAAGACAGTGTATCTCCTTTATACATCAACGACTTAATATAATTATTTATTTTATTTTTATTTTTATTTATTTATTTTGTTTTTATTTATTTTTATTTTTATTTATTTTATCTATTTATCTCGTTTATGCTGTCAGTTAGGTTGTCTATGTATCCAGCTAGCTAGCTAGCTAGCTAGCTAGCTAGCTAGCTGCACAGACAGCTAGCTAGCTAGCTGGGTAGCTAGCTAGCTAGCTAGCTAGCTAGCTAGCTGCGCATACACCCCAACTAGCTAGCTAGCTAGCTGCACAGACAGCTAGCTAGCTAGCTGGGTAGCTAGCTAGCTAGCTGCACATACACCCCAGCTAGCTAGCTATCTATCTAGCTAGATAGCTAGCTGCACATACACCCCAGCTAGCTAGCTAGCTAGCTAGCTAGCTAGCTAGCTACACTATCCTTGTCTGTATTTATGTTTGTCTCTGTTTTCTTTCTGTTTTGTCTCCTTTTCTTTTTTTATTTTTTGTTTTTTGTTTCTGTCTCCTTTTATCTCTCCCTTAAACCCTAAACCCTAAACCCTAAACCCTAACTGTCTCTGTCTCTGTTTGTTTTCTTTTTGTATCTTTTTGTCTCTCTTTCTGTCTCCTTTTCTTTTTATCTATCTCTGTTTGTTTTTTCTTTTTTTTTT